AGTTAGTTGGTTATGTATTTTTTAAATAAAAAAAAATTTTGAATTTACTTACTTGTAGCCGGAGTTAGAGGCGGTCGGATACTTATGACCGCTACTGTATGTTAAATACATCAAATATATCTAATATGTCCCATTTGTCCAATATATCAATTATGTCAGATATATCAAATATATCCTATATATCAAATATGTTTAATATGTTTGCCATTCAGATCTGCAATACATTGCTTCACGTTTATTAATCTAATCTGGTTACACTATAACAGCTCTTTTAACATACTATTTATTAGATTTTGCATTATAATGATATGAATATATTATATAAATTTATACAAAATTTTTATCTATTAAAAGAATTTAGATTATAATTTTGATTTTAAAATATAAAAAAATTTTTATGTTATTCCTGTTCATATTTCTTCTTTATATTGACTATTATTTTTAAAAAATAAATATGATAATGAAAATATAGTGTCATATACTTCTACATATAAAATATATAGCTCAAATCCTATATATAGTATCATAAGTGGCATTAATTTCATATTTATCAATTTTCAAGTTACTTATTTACTCAAAAATTCTAGTATTAAATAGACTCATTTATTATTTATAAAAAATTAATAATTTTTCTAATTTATTTTCATCAAAATCAATTAAACTCTCTAATTTTTTCTATTGGAATCATTATTTTCATAGCAGATAAATTGATTTATATGGAAATCTATTATTAATTTCACAAATTGCAACTATTACAAATTTTGTAATTTCTAATTTTAAATTGATTTATCTTGAGAATTAAATAAAATATAATGATAATCAATAAAAGAATTTTCTGCTGATGGTACTTTTAATAAAAGTTATAATCATCAGTATCTAAATATTCATATTATGTTTTTGAATAGAAGAATTAATTATAGGATTAATATTAGAAACATAATATATCTCTGTTAAAACATTTTATTAAATTCTATTAAATGACTCAAGATATCATAAAAGAAGTATAAAAAAGCTAAAACTTTTCAATTATAGATCTTAGAATATAATCAAATATTAATTGTTGCTTTTGAAATGAATTTGATGGTCTTTATTTTAAAATTGGGTGATCCAATACTGATTGGAATTGCTTCAAAGCATCAACTCTTTTCAGAATTACTAAAAAAATTATATATTTCAATATTAAAAGCATGTACAAACTAAATAATCATAGTTCACATGATCGCTAAATTATTTTGCAATATTTGTATTTTTGTGTGATAAACGCATTATTTTTAATAAATAAAGAGTACATTTCAGCTATAAAGTATAATTTCCACATAAAATTTTTACATGTATTAATAATAAAAAATCCTTTTCGTCAAAGATTTTCTATTGTAAATTTAAGGAGATGAGATCAAGTTAACGTAATTTTATTTAAAGAAGTATCCTAAAATTGATTCATATATTCATATAAATAGATAACACTTTTGTTAGTGAACTTTTTATCTGTCTTGTGTAAGAATCAAGTGAAAAATCAAGTGAAAATCAAAAGAAAATTCAAACCTATTATTTAGATCATCAATATCAATAATTATACAAATGAGTAATAATCCATAAAGTAATAATAAAGTAAGTTAGTCTATTGCTCGGTTAGTTACATGTCATCATGATTTTCCTATTTCTATAGGGGTTCCAAAATAAACTGGACATATTACTCTTCTAGAATTTTGATCTTTGCTAAGAAAATCACTGATCATTATCATGCATATAATAAATACAGTATCATAAAAATAATTTCCTGTGATAGGATATTATCCATATGCATTATCAACGCAGTAAAATTTTCTATAAGTATCTTCACGTATCGAATTCTTGATAGTATTATTCAAGTGATAAAAAAAATAAGCAATAAATTTCTTGTATATGAGACGGAGTAGATGTTAATCGTAGTGGTTAATATTGCATTGCTTATCAGTTGCTAATTTCCAGATTTATGTGTAATTTTAAAATTACTTAAGTGCTCTTGCGGAACTTAATAATTTATATGATTTTGTGTATGTGAAAGTGATATTGATAGACATAGATATGTGTAGAATGGAAAAAAAAGTATTGGTGTGTAATTAGCAGTAGTAATAGTAACAAAATAAATAAAATAAAAATTTATAAGCCTGAAAGAACAAAGAAATAACATGATGCTGGGACTTGCATTAAGTGGTCTAGAATCCGTGTACTCCCACCTTTTTTGATATTATCATACATTTTCATCATTAATAAAATTTCATTCAATTTAAGCATTTATATCAAAATTTTTTTTTTGTAAATATTGTATAAGTTTCGTGATCTTAAAATCTTAACTTCTTACAACAATCTCGAAGTCAAAAGATTAATACCCTTTTTATTGATTTAAAAATATAGAATATTTAGCTTACTAATTTTTAATAGATAACATCGTAATGGCAGACAAAACTTGCGTATAATTTGATCTAGGGAATTGAGAAATAGACCGATTTGACAAAAGAAGTATAGAAAGTCAATTGTATATTAGAAAACAGCATGCAGGAGGAGGCCTTGAAACATACTTGCTCAAGAAAATTTCTGAAAACTACCTTCATACATCTAACGTAGGATATAATAGCCATACGTCAGTAGGTATACGTATTCTAGATACTAGCATGCAGGAAGAGGCCTTGAAACATACTTGCTCAAGAACATTTCTGGAGACTAGCACCAAACATCTAACGTAGAACATAATGGCTATATACTAATAGGGATTTGCTTGACATGGTAAGACAGAAAATTTTCTAAACTGAAACGAATTATTTTATGATTGTAATAGGATATTAAGAATATACTGCGTCTTAATAATAATATGCGTAAGATTTGTATGATGCAATCAGTTGACAATAAATTCGAGGATAAATTCCTTGTTAGAAAAAGAAAACTATATAAAATTATAAATATACTTATAGTGTCAAAAGGATGGAAAATGGTATTAGATGAATAATTAACCAATAATTTAAATTATTAAAATTACAAAAATTTATATTTTAAGGGTATAGAGAATCACATGGTAATTTCATATTATCAATATGGCAAATGGTAATACTAATTTTCTACGCAATATAAAGTTTTATAATACTTAATGTAAAGGGATAAAATTTAAATATTTAGAAAGTCACGAACCTGAGCAATATTTTATAACCTTAAAAAACTTTATTATTTAAAAAACTTTTTGAAAAATTTTAGTATGAAGTTGCGAATGGGAAACTATTTTTGCAAATGGCAATTTAATATTTTATTAGTTTCCTATTTATTGGTATCAACTTATTACATAATTCAAAGCTTTTGTAATATACAGTTATTTTACGCTTCCTAAGGTATCAAAAGTCTTTTTTTTTTTTTACTAAAAGCATTTAATTTATTTTAATAAATAGAAAAACATGTACAGTCATACCTCTATATAATCACTCCCTATATAAGCACAACCTCTGTATATTCACACTTTTATTGCATTTAAATCTTTAATTAAAAAAATTACCTTTATATAATTATGATCATATTGTAATCACTATCACACTGATAATATATGCCTAACCTTCTTTTAGTAAAGTAAATAAAACTTTTGTATAGTCACATCACGTGATTCTAATAGAGGGAAGATCTGTGGCCTGATAATCAAGATTCCGTTTTGATTGCATAATGATCTGTGTTACATACAAAGTTTTCTCAAGGTTTTTTTAGCTCATTCATAATGATAGTTTGGATAGAAGATACTTTGGAAAGTTAAGTTCTTTTTTTTTTAATGTCTTACTTTAAGGAATATATATTGATATATATTAATTCTATTTTTATTTTTGTAAGTTTTGGTTTCTCTAGAATGGCATTTCAAACAGGTATGTTAATTTTTTTTAGTTTGGTTTTGAAATTTACTTTAAGAAATGTATTAACGTCTTTTTTTTATTTTTTGTAGGTTTTGGTTTTTTTGAGACGGCATTTCAAATGGGTATGTTAGTTTTTTTGGTTTGAATTTTGAAATTGACTTTAAGAAACGTACTAATGTTTCTTTTTTTTTATTTTTATAGGTTTTGGTTTCTCTCAGACAGCATTTTAAACGGGTATGTTGATTTTTTTGGTCTGGACTTTGAATGGACTTTTGGACCAGTATGTTAGTTTTCTTGAAAGAAATTTTATTTTGGAATTAGCTTTAAGAAATATACTAACACTTTTTTTATAGGTTTTGGACTTTATAGAAGGGACTTTGAACTGGTATGTTAGTTTCTTTGGGGAGTGTTTGGATTAGCTTTAAGAAACATATTAATGTTTTTTTTAATTAGGTTTAACTTCTTGGTATATTAACATAAATACAATAAAAGATCAGGAATTATGACATGAGATATCAGAATACAATTAATAAGGTATCAACCTGTGAGAATTTTGAATTTTAAAATTAATATGTACAATGATATAATTTGTATTACAAGGTACATTTTTATTTATTTCGCAAAGATTTTAGTACAACTTCAAAAATAAAAATAAAAAATAAAGACGAATTTTATTTAAAAAAAAATTCTCTCATTAGTATTTATAACAATGTAACATTTTAATTAATAATTTCAAAAATTTTCAATTGCATAAATTGAAATGATTGACAAACGCGTTCAAGAATTTGCACGTTTAAAAACTTTACCTTTTTTTTTATATATTCAAAACTTCTTTTTTGCCTTTTAAAATGCCACCTCTTCCAAGCACAGAAAATCACATACTGCAATAAATGATGATATAAAACAATAAATATATATCTATGCTATGAAATCTGAGAATAAAAATAAATCACAGCAACAAATTGCTGACTACTTTAACCAACAAAATGAAAACCTAAATATTGACAGGTCAACAATTTCAAAGATTGTTAAAAAAAAGGATAAATGATTTGAAATTCTTTCATTATTAAATAATACTAAAAATTTTCGTCATAAAGAAATTAAATATTCACAAATTGAGGAAGCATTAGGATTATAGGTAGAAAATGCAAATGCTAATAATCTTGCAGTCTTAGAAATGATTATTAGAGAGAAGGCTTTTTTTGCACAAGAATTTGGGATTCCACGTGAAAATATATTTTTTTTCAAATGGTTGGATGCAAAGATTTAAAAATTGCAATAATATTCGTAGATATTGTTTACATAATGAAGCAAATAGTATACCATTAGAAACTCTTTCTGAAGAAAGAAATAAATTGCGAGAAGTTTTAAAAGATTATCCACTTAAAAATATATTAAATGCAGATGAAACAGGACTTTTTTTTCATATGACACCTAATCAGATTTTAGCATCTGCTCCTACTCTGGATATAAAATGAGTAAGTAATAGATTAATTTATTTATTATTTTGTGTTTTATAAAAAAAAATAAAATTAATTTTTTTTTTTAAGACAAATCTCATATTACTGTTTTTTTAACTACAAATGCTACTGATATAGAAAAACTTAAACCACTTGTAATTGGTTCTTCAAAAAATTCTAGATGTCTTAATCGAATTAACTGTAACTCACTTCCATATATGTATTATACTAATCCAAAAGCATAGATGCGAAGTGATATTTTTGAAGAATGGCTTAAATATACTAATAATATATTTAGAGTATAAAATCAAAAAATTTTATTACTTGTGAATAATGCATCATTACATATTAATCCTGATGAATTAAATTTATCACATATGAAAGTAAAATTTCTTTCACCTAATATAACAGCCCATTTGCAACCTATAGATGCAGAAATTATTAATAGTTTTAAAGCAATTTATAAATAACATTATATTCGGCATATTCTCTATCAATTTGATACAAATGTAGATTTGAATAAGTTAAGTATTTAAATTAATTTTTATTTTATTTTATATATATATTGTATATAATCCTAACAAATTTAATATTATATAGAAATAAAATCAATGTTAAAGAAGCTATGGAATATGTTGCACAAGTTTAAGATTTAGTAAAAGTAGAAACTATTATTAATTGTTGGCATAAAACAGGTATTTTACCAATAGTTAATAATGATAATATACAATAAGCTTTAATTGCAGAAGAAATAGTAAATCAAGAAAATTAAAGAGTTATTGAAGTACTTTTGCAAACCAATATAGATGAATCTTTAAAAGTTGATATAGATCAATATTTAGAAGTTGTTGATTTAACAGTTCCAACAGAATAGCAATTAACAGATATTGAGATTGTATAACTTGTTTTGGAAGAACAACATAATGATACTAAATTAAATAATGAAATTAATCAGAAATGTCATATAGTATCAATAAATGAAGCTTTTAATGGTCTTAAAACATGGATATAATATTTAGAAGGACAGGAAAATGAAGAATTTGATATGAAAAATATGCAAATTTTTAGAAAAAATATGAGAATTATGCAACAAAAAGTTTTTGATAGTAGAATACAAAAAAATATTACTAGTTTTTTTAATTAATGTATCTTTTAATACATTTTATAATAAATATATTTGATAATAAATAATTTTATAATATAATCTCTACTTAATCACAATATTATAAAATTACTTATAATGTGATTATATTAAGGTATTCAATATATAGTCACACTTCTATATAAGCACATATTTTACATGTTCCCAACTGCGTGAGTATAAAGAGGTATAACTGTATTTATTTTATTCTTTATAATAAATTTAAAGATAAAAATTTTTTATTAAATTTTACATATGTGACATCATGACATTGTTACTTTTTATTTATTCAGTAATACCACGAATCTGCAATAACTTTTTCTTTTATTCCAACTACAAGTCCTATTATAAACATATTGGCTGACAAAGTTTGTGCACTTGGTGAAGAATGGTAAAGTGAAATTTTCTGTTTTACATAATCACGTACTACCAAATCTGCAAGCATATAACTAGCCACTTCTTTTAGTTTTCCAAATTTTAGTTTTTGACAACTTTTATATGATTCCAATTCAGTTAACCCTGATTCTCAAATTTTTCTTGTATTTGATTTACAAAAAATTTCTACTATATCATCTTCAGTAATTTCACAATTAGTATTATTTTTTATTTCTTCAATAATTTCTAATAAATGAAAAATATCATCAATGCAATTTTCATAAGTAGGCCGTTCTTTTATTCAATTTCTACAATTATCATACTTTAAGCAAGGAGCAGGAATATTATTACCATTCTAAAGATGATAATGATTTATTAATTGAACACGGCATTTATATTGATTTTGACAAAATAAAAGAACTTCACAAATTTTGTGTGTTCTAATATCAAGATAGCATGTTCGTTCATGTTCATCATCAGCCATATTTTGATTATTAGAATATCTACAATATTCAAATACAGTTAGCGTCAATAGTATCAAAGAATAATTTTAAATTAGTCAAATACTTACGTTTCACAATTTTTAGCCAAAATCACAAAATTTGTTTTTAAATCTTTCTTTACTGAATAAAATATTATACTTTTTGCTTTGTTACCATCACGTCCTGTCCGTCTGATATGCATACCAAATTTGCTGCATATAAAAAATTGTTAAAAAAAATATACTGTATATATGTATAAATACAATTTTTAAAAATATATTTATTACTTATGCTTAAGGGAGATACACAATGTATTACTAGATAGATATCAGGAGAATTAATGCCTATGCTAAATGTATTTGTTTTAATTATAATTTAAATTTTGCCAGCTTTCTAACGTGATATAATATTTTTACGTTGTTCATCGCTTAAACCTCTATGATATATACCCAAGTTGTCATCTAGTAAAAGTGGATCTAGTATCACAAAAAGGTTATCACATTCCAATTGTGTTGCACAGTCCCAATAAAAAATTTGATATAAAAATTCCATAAAAATATTAAGTTTTATAACGTATAACTTTTATGAAAAATCAGT